TTGAAAATTTTTGGATTTAGAAGTCATTCACGCCAAGATTGCATATCCTGAAAATAGAATCCTACATCATCACTGAGCAACTGGAAGAACACCACCACAAACATTATACACTACAGATTTTTAATCCTGAAAATAATTTGAGCTTTGGCAAAGGAAACCTATCAAACACTTAATTTCTCTTTCATTTTAAGATTTTTTTTTTCTCATTTCAAGGGTAAGTGAAAGTTGTATTTGAATATCCTTTGTATTAGATGATTGTACAATATCTTTTTATCATACATCATTTTTTGTTTACTTCAGTATCACGTTATGAAAATAGCTCATACAAGACTTGCTTTTTTTGTTTTGCAAAGCTATGCTTCTGCTAAATGGAAGATATTATGACTCTATGTTGAAACTATGTATCACCATTCTGCAGTGCATCTTAAAATCTCAGGAAATTTGTATTGCTCAATCAAAAAAATAACAATAGCTTAGTAAAAATGAGTAAACAAGTGGTAAGGATTGAAACACTAATATATAAATAGCCTAGTAACTGGCATCCATAAACATTAAAGAGAACAAACAGAAAGAAGCAAATGCTTTAAATCATGGCTGTTGATGTCTGATTCTTTAAGAATTATACTGTTTTCATTTACCTTAAATATAAATGATCTCCCTGGCAGATTATCGTCTACTCTCCAGCAGCTCTCAATAGCTGTTAGATCCAAGAATACCTTATTTTTCATCACATCTTATAACCTGAACCATTATGCATTTCTGGTTTTGCTTGACTTCAGTTAAATAAAAATACTAGTTGTTTTATTTTCCTCATTACTTGGAAAGAATAATTCACTTCATGGTCTTACAAACTGGAAATCTGTGCCCTGGCCAAGATTGTTCTTTTGTAAGACTCCCTGGTATTCCTTGGTTCAGGTTCTAGTGCAGGTATTCGAAGATACCTCAAAACTTCTGTCTGGTGGTGGTAGTTTCTGTCCAGTTCTCATATTAGCAGTAATAACTTAGCAATTGTTATATTATCTTAGCAATTGTCATATTAGCAATGATAATTAGCAATTGCTCATATTAGCAATTATAACTTGAGACATATCTGTGTCCAATCCTGCATTGGCTTAGCTAAACTAGTGCAAACACATACAAACAGACCCAAGGTAAGAGCCTGAAACAGTATTGAGATGCAAATTGCCCCATTTATTGCCTTGAGATTAAAATCCAAACACGATTTGTTGACTTAAAAACAATAGGTGACCAAACTGCAAAAAAGCAAAGGGATATTTATAGTGCTGTTGTCTCACTTAACAGAGATAACTTACCTCAGCTGCAAGTCAGAAAGCTCGGGTTGCGAGCAAAGCCTTGCTGTGACAGGCCTGGTTTACACAGGACAGCTGAGGAACTGAGCTGGATGCGCAGCCTGCAGCGTGCACTGGCTGAACGAGGTCCTCACTAAAGGTCACCAAATGAAGAGTCCAGCACAGGGGAAACTATCAAGCCTTTCAGCTTCCAGCAAATAGTGGACAAGTCAGGATTTCTTCTTGAATCTCAAGGAGACAAGAAGTTCGTGGGTTCAGTTTGTAATATTACATATGATTTCCCCAGGCTTCTGCAAATCTGCTTAACTTGCATTAAGATGATCAAATTACTTTTCATTTACACTTTTCTGTTTCATGTAGATGTGTTCGAAACAACTTTACTAGGAACAAAGCCCAGGGAAGTTCAGGTTGTGCCCTTACTTGGGACTCTAAAACATGCTTGCTGATTTGGGGAAAGGCAAAAACATTCAGGACTGGGATTTCTGGTAGAGCTTTACCAGCTGTTAAAGAGCTGAGGCACATTTTCAGAAGCCTCTTCTCTGTGTTCATGCATAGTAGTGACAGCTGACTTGAGGGTAATGCTACTAACTCCTTTGAGCTGGCCATGCAACTGCTTATTTTTAAGTTTTAAGAAATTGTGAAAACAGTTAAATTTTTTTTAGAACTGTTCATAGTGAAGCATTCAAACTCATTTCCTGGTGTTTGATTTAAGGTATAAGAGCTAATTTTTGTTATGTAGTTAAAATTTATTTTGAGAAATAAAAGAAAATTTATTTAGCTTTGCAATAATTACAGAGTTAATTCACATTTATTAATGAATAATCAGTATGATGGCTCACAGGACAACTTCATGTGCCACTGTTTTTGTAGTTAGGTCAGACTGTAAACATGCATAGCTGGAAATACAAATGGTAATGCAAGTGAAATTCTTACTGTGATTTTTGAAGAGCAGTGAGGGACATATATTCCAGGAAAACAGTTGGCCTGGTTAATGAATTAAGAAAAATATGGTATGCATTAGCTGGAAGTACATGTAAATATAAAACAAGAGGTTCTGCCATGCTTTCTTCACACATTCACCATTCTCAGTAGTTCTTTATATCTAGACACATTGCTTTCAGCGACAATAACCAACCCTGCTGCCAGCTCTAAGATACTTGGATTCAGTTAAAAATCCTCCAAAATCATTTAAGTGCAGTATGAGCAAGCTGCTCATGGGTACCTGGGTTGCTGCTATGAAATCACAAGGCTGAAAAAAAGCTACTCTGAAACAAGGTGGTACTAATGGAAGAGGTGCAGGAAAAGGGAAGGAAGACGACTAAATTCCCATGGCTATTTTGTGAATTAGAGATTCAACCCAGACAGTGCCACAGCAAACTGAATGTGACCCCACTTTGAGCAATTTCCAGTTTCCAATGCTCTACCAAATTAACAGCTATGACTGTGAACTCTCCCATATTGAATACTTATTAATGTTAATACTTATTAACATTAAGGATGTGGTGGAGAGCCAAAGAATTTTAAACTGACGGTAAATCCAACTCGTTCCAAAGTACAAAAAAATAGTGTGTCCTCAGAGATCTTAACTAGATGCAACAGAATGAAAACATTATTCTCAATTTAAAAATATTATGTATATACAGTGTTACCTTAAGCAGACATTAAACCTTTAAGGCAACATTAGTTATATATTATATATTCCTCATTTTCTCCTCTAAGAAAGGAAAAAATATTCTAATCCATTTTATATGAGATGCTGTTTGACCACCTAAAATATTAATTTGAGGCAAAGCACTTCGAAGGAAGTCTCATTTTCAGATCACAGGCTTCTGATAATCATATTATTATCGGAAATAGGCATAACTTTTTCAGCATTTAAATGACCTAGGGTTAAATACTCTACCCTCTGTGTCTGCTCTGTACTAGCTAGCTGGTCCCCAGTCAATGCTCTGCCAGGAAGACGAACACACAAGTAACTACAAGTACACAATCAGACGGAATACATAGAGCAGCACATACACAACAATCAGTACTGGCAGCACTGGTTCAAGTGTGCAGCACAGCACGTGCCCTGAGCTTGAGACCCGGAGAATGGCCAGGAACAGGAGTGTCAGGCCTTCAACCCAGCCCAGGGTTCCAGGGGATTACTGAACACCTGATTGCCCATATGTAAGCCTACTGGCACAATGGTAACTTTGGCAGGGAAAGTCTCAAAATGGGGGGAGTCTCTTTTCAGTGGAGTGTCCACACCACAGAGGCATTTATGTTAACTCATATAGTCAACTCCTGAGATGATCATTCCCTTACACAAATACATGCATTAAGGTTCCTGAGAAAAACAAGTTATTATATCCTTATATTATTTTGCTTTAGAAAATACAGTATTATCCCAAATCCCGCTCCCCACAATAAATTTTTTTATTGGCGAGCTTATTGTTCAATAGTTTGTGTCTTCTAGGTGTTGCTATTTCCTCAGTGCCGTAAGGCCACTCCTGTGTTTTCTCAGTTGGTGACTTCTCATTCATTCAAAAGAAAAAGAATTTCTCCTTTTTACAGATGGAATCTGCTCCAGTTTTATCATCTGAATCTTCTGCCTTCTGTTACTTGCATAACTCACAACTAAGAAACTTTGTATTTTCATAATACATCTAATCAGCTTTGGAATAGTGCACTTAAAAAACCCACAGCAATATAATTCTGGCAAACTGTGCATTTTCAGAGTTCTCTCATCACAGCCATGAGAAGCATTCTCTAAGTTAAATTTCTGATACAACTTCATCTGATTAGCACATTCCTTTTTTTTTTTTGAAGATTAGCTTTTCTGAAAACAATCTTCCTGTTTTGATTATTAGAAGTAGTATTAGGTTCTTTAAGCATTCACATCTTCCCCTGCCGTTTTTCCTCCTCATTTCAGCTGACTGCTCTGTACCCCTCCAAAATAATTTTCTCATTCATGCTGCACTGCTACTAGTTCACTAAATCAATAAGGTCTTTGAGTATTTCCATCTTGGTGGATAAGTTATTTTTCTTCTCCAACAAGGATGTCAGGAATGCTTTTATGCTATCAACTTCATAATGTTTTTTTGTCCCTATAGCCCAAACCCCCAAAGAAACACAATGCTGTGAGATGAAAGGGCATAGATGAGAATATGAGAATCCCTCACGGAAGACAACACTTTGACTGAGACAGAGCAGGCAATGCAAACGTTAGGAAATACTCTTCAGTAGTTTTGCCAACATAGCCCTATTCTTACAGGTATTCCACTGATCAGGATCTTTTCTCCATAAACCTGGATTTTTTTCGTGATAACATGCACCAATTGAGAAATAAGGCTAAATACAAAAACCCTAATATTAACAGCCAAGACATTCAAACTTTTACCAAAGTTTGTCAGGTTTAAACTTCTGCACTTAAATGTAGCTATTTTAAATATCTGGAGTTTCACTGAATCATTTTCTTCCAAAATGACTGTTTGAAGAGACCCAGTGTGGGGAAGTCAGAGTATCAGTCTAAAAATACAGCTGGCACCGTGAAACCATTTTGAAAAACGGTGAGCTATGCTTACTTGTTTTACTAGGTTCCTCAGCACTTTGTTCCTGAATAGTTCAGTATTATTCCAGACACTACTAACCAACTATGACAATTTGAGGTTTCCAGCATACCCCTTTCAGACAAAACAAAGTGAGAGGTGAGTTCTACAGGTAACTTTTAATGCAACTCTTTAAAATTTCACAAGATTCTCATATTTTTCCCTTCCCAATAAATGTGATTGCATTTATTTACATATATTTTTACCTTATGCTATACATTTATATTAGTTATTGCCAGTTACCCTTTTCATTCTTAAACAACAGCACAAATTGTTTACAGTCATGACACCTCACAATAGCGTCGCTTGCCATTTATGCAAAATTAAAAAAAGCCCCAATACTTTTTTTTTTAATCTTATGGCAAGTCAGGATTTTCTCCTCATTTATTAATAGCTGTGCCCAGCAGAACACACCAAAGGTGCTCATACTTGTGATTAATCTAGATGAAGTTCAAGTTATCAGACAGGAGATTATTTTCTTCAGTTCTTCATTCAGCTCTTACTCATCCCAGGTATCTCCATATTTATTTACCTTAACTAAAGAAAAGAAGAAAAAATAGTCACATATGACTTAACTGCAAAAGTTGATCTTATACAATGCTGAATAATATGATGAAATGCATTATCATTTGCAGTGGTAGGTGGGGAGAGTGTCAGTCACAGCACGGCAGACGTCTAATTAAAGCTACTTCTGAATAAATGGGGAAAAGAGTTTGTTAATCATTCTTCTTTAATGAATTAATATTCGGTCAAGAGGCCTAATGTGCTAATTCCTGCTCTACAGAATTTGTAATTACTTTGAAACAAATGCAACATGTGGATGAAACAAAGACAATTGGAGGAAACAGGCAAGAACATTAGAATAAATAATGTGGCTACATAATCTAGTTACGTGCACAATTGGATGGATTCAGGATTGTTAAAAACACGTTCAAACACAAACAGAATTCAGTAATCCCTACAAGGAAACTACTCAGCCATTATTTGGCAGCTTCCTTTAGTACAGGACTGAGTCAGAGAGTAAAAAAAAAACCCAGGGTATTGGTCTTAACAGATTTATTCAGAAGTATGTCATGCCTGTCTGAACAACGACCAGAAAGGGACAAAGATGCTCTCTCTGCGAGCTGCAGAGTGGTCCATAATTGACTGCCATCACTGACAGTGTAAAGGATGGATCCATACAAACTTGACACTAGTCAAAGCACCCCTTTATAGATCTACTTGCAGGTTAATTACTAAGCCCACTGTTTATTAATACCTATCTGCAGTAGAACCAGTGGAATAGAGCAGAATGCATGGTCCTTGTTTCAGTGAGATGTCAGCAAACTCAACATCATACACTGACAAATCTCTTTTAAGCTTGCTGACATTGCAGTGAGGCACAATGACAAGCTCTCTCAAAGTACAGTTTGATTTCCACTTCTATTAACCATGGCAGCTGAGCAGGCTGTGCTCATTCCCTGGAAAACAGTCCAGTCCAGATCACTATGCAGATGTGCATTATTTGTACAGCTACAATGAATCCAAAAGGCACCAGCATATGAAGTTAGGAACTGCTTAAAACTGGTTTAAACATGGTTTGTTTTCCCTTATGTCCTTGTAGCAAAGGGCAAAAACCACTGTCTCCTATTTGCTAGTTTGGCTGCTACATCGCAGAGATAAGAGGATGAACAAAGGGGGAACAACTCGGGACATATGAACTGGCATATGAGTAACATGTCCAGTGTGACAGAAGAAGCAAGATCAAGAATGGTAGAATCCCTGAACTGTAGATTTAAATGTACTTCCATTTGTAAAACATGTCTGAATTTCTCAAAGCCTGAGTATAATCATCAAATGGAACACAGTATTTGATGAACATTTTAGAGAGGTCTTTTATAGACCTCAAATAACTAAAAATAATATACACATACTCTTATTTCACAGCCACAAGATTTGCCATGGAATATGGCAAGATTTGCAGAATATTCCTCAAGATTTCTGTGTACGGTTTTCTAGTGACATTTCTAGGCTATTTGTGGAGAAATATATTGAAAAGGCAACATTGTGTAAATCAATGAAGTGTCAGCTTATGGAATTTAGCAGCAATCTGAAACTACAGCTTAAATAATTTTTTAATGTCTCATTTGGTATAGCCACGTGATAAGAGAAAAAGGCTTTCATCCTTGAAACAATAGATTTCAATCATTACTCAATACTTGTTTGTAATTTTTATTTCAAGACTGTGTAGATCTGTCCAAAGACAGATGATCTGGTGAAAGTAACTCACAAGCATGAAATAGACTGACACTCTTAAGCAATGCTGTTCCAAAGCTTACTACTATCACTTCAGAGCTTTCTGCTTTAATATACTTTTCTATGCTTATTACCACCTGTTACACCAAATAGGAGAGTTAGCTATTCCTACAAATCTTATTGCAACAGGATTGACAAGACTGAACACTGCACACAAACTCAAACAATTCAAGCTGACTAGTCCAGTAGAGTGTGTTAAATGTTAAAGCATTCCTCTTGCTAACATTATTTTCACAGATGTCACACTAATTTAACAAGTGCTAGAGCAATTATGAACTGCTTCTGTGTGTCTCAGTTTCAAAAAATTCATTGAGTCAAAAAGTTGACTGAATGGCATCTTATTCTTCAGGACATTGCATTCTTATTTTGCTGTGTAGTTTTGTTTTTCACTGTGAAAACAAGTCTCAATATTGCTGCCAGATACTGTTTCCTTCCTTTGAGATTTAATGTAGAAAATGAACCTCTATAAACAATGCCTCTATAGAAATCCACTCATTCCACATGAAACAATTAATAAAAATAAATACCCCCCTCTTCAAAACCATCAACCATGTGCTCTATTTTGAGAGAACAATGCTATCTAAAATATACACCCCCTTCCATAGCTAAAACTTTTCAGCATAAGCTCTGGGCTCAGAGAATTCTTTGTTGAAAGAGGTTGATTGACATATTCAATAAATCAAAAGTTATGAGATTTTCAGTGTGGCAACAAGCAATATGGCTAGAGAAGAGGAATTATAATTTGCTATTGGAAGATCAATATTTTTTTTTTTAAATTTGAAATATGAAACTACAGACCACATCACATATGAGATACCTGCAAATCCTGTAAAAATAAATTGCTTAAGGGGTAAGCAGAATTAAGCCTTGAGTTTGTAACCATTTTTTAAATTATTGTCAATATTTGAATTTACTGTGCATTTCTGTAAATCAGTGTATTACCTTCCTTAGCTGTTTTTTCCTGTGAAAACTTGCTCGGTGTTTCTGCCTTTGGTGGCATCATTACCTCATATGTCTCTCTGTGTTTATTCCTTAATTCTTCATATGTGATACCTTTTTTTTTACGGCTTTCTTCTGGAATTGGAGCAGGATCTGAAAACAAAAACATCAAAATACGAGAAATTGCATCACACCCCAAAAGTTGGCTACAACCTGTTCTAGTATGCCAGTTAATTACAGCTCAATCCCAAATGAAAAGGAGCATGACAGCTGCAGTTCTAAATGCAACCGAGAATGTATGTGGTCTTTAATGAATACATTCCTTTTATCCTTTTCGTTTTATCAAACTGCTTTGGAAGACTGGTATTTAACTCCTTTTCCTCATTTTACCCAATAGAAATCCTAACAACCATCTGGTAGTCGATGGATAAACCAGTTCTGGTCACTTTATCTAAAATTTATGACAATCATACATGTGATATATTTATGATTTCTGAAGAGAAATCTAGGTGAAGCTCAAGGGTTTGCATTCAGGCTTTAAATTTTCTTTCAGAGAATTAGGACTACATCCATCCATACATATGTTACCTGATAAACATTTTATCCTCTTAACTACATTTATAATGCAGAACCTCGATTCTATAATGAAGGTTATACCAACTATTTCTATTTCTGATTAATGTAATTACAATTTCCTTGACACATTTACACCTGATATTTTTATATAACTAAACCAGAACTGAAAAGGGCTTTTGTGAAATAAAACCTTTTCCATAAAGGAGTTAAAAAATCCAAACTAATTCTAAGTATGAAACTCTGCATTTGACAGTAACTTCCTCCTTTGTGTACCAGAGACACCTGAATTCAGAACCGTGTGCTTCCCCTGCAATAGCGGAGGTCAGAGTTCAAACTGAAAGGAGGGGAACAGCTGCACAGAACAGTACTTGAAAACCATTTTAGTTCTCTGTGAGAAAATCAGCTGTTGCTGGACAGAACACAATATGCATTCAGTTCTCAGAAGATGTAAATGTTTGTCACATTATAAAAAAGTTTAATGTCACTGAATTATAGCAGTACAGTTACAGCACCACCACTGGTGAAAATTAAATAACCTCAGAAAGCCTAGCAGACAAAAGGTAGACACCATGGTTTATTTGGTGCGGTGAAAGGATGGCATATTCACCTTAATTTCAATTTAAAAGAACTTCAAGTCAGGCTGAGTTTTTTGCAGGTTTAGTTTCACAACAGATTAAACCTTGTAAATTAATTTATGATACTTACTTGCAATTAGTGCTACCAAAACATGAAAAAAACCCTGAATTTGGTTTACAGTTAGAACATAAAATACCACCTACATTTCTCTTCTGTATAAAAACAATTCTGGGAACTTCAAGCTGCTTCATTCAAAACCACTACACTGTACCATGTATGTTTGTATGGGATGAAAATACATAGTCTAGTAAGAGAAGTATCTAAGAGAAAGACAAGTCAATCGTACTACAAACTGCTGAATATTAAGACAAAACACACCTTGAACGGTGTAATCAGTGATTCCTGTAGGTGAAGATTCACTCAGGGAAGCACTGAATGGAACAGGTTCATAACTTGAGAGGGCTCTATCTGTTGAGCTATAATCATCTGAATAGCCAGAAGAAAGTGGAAATCCAGCCCTTGGAGAAGAAGGCTCAGCAAACGACTGAGAAGGCATGTCTGAAAATTCAGACTTCCGACTGGAACGGCTGGAAAATAATACAATTAAATATTAAATACAGAAATACTGAAGTTAAAATGGATCTGTATGAGTAACAGTATGTGTAGTTCAAGAAAGCACTCTTCTATTTTAAATTATATAGTTTCAAACACAAATTATTTTCTTAAAGTTTGGGGTGGTTTTTTTCTTCTTTACATTGTAAAGATCTATCTAGTCCCTTCCCAACGCTCTTTCCTTCATCCCATAAATTTAAATCACACCTGAAAATCTCCAGAACAGAAGACAAAAGAGACAAAGTATTTTGCATTTTACAAGACAAAAATGACAATCCCTCCCCACAGGGAGTCTTCAGACAGAAAAAAAAACACATCAGACATAAACAGTACAGGGCGTGCCCATGTAAGTAGTGGTAGCATGAACTACAGTTATTTTTAAAGGCCTTTTAGGAAGAATTTGAAATTTAAAACTCTTCATCATTAGAAGCTGCTGTCATTGATCAGCACAGAACAGCAGAAGAAAAGGAGAATGAAGAGCTATCTTGGGAAAATTAAATTATGAAAGTTTATTGAGTTGCTGAATTTGGCAGAAACATGAGCAAATTTTCTCTTAAGAGAGAAAGGTAAGATCATATAAAGAATATTCTGGAAATGCCTGATATTTTAAAGCATCCACTACATACTCAGAATGGCCCTGCAAACCACTACACAACACATCTCTATCAAGAATGCCACCATTTGGTGCCACTAGCATGTCTCTAGAGTATTTATTAATTTTTTAACTTTAGATTTCTGCTTAGTTGTACTTTTAGTTTCACATGAAAAACATTTGCAATTAGTCTTTATTTTGTTCTCACAATAAACCTACAGAGGTAAGCCTTATGGCCTTATTTGTAAAGCATATGCAAACAGAGCTTTAAAGAACTATCTAATCTTTTAGCTCCTTACCTATTTTTAACTGCAAATCAGAATTACCAAAACACATTAATTAGTAGATGTATCATGACCATGAAAATGTAATGGTTTCTGTTCCTGGCTTAAAAGAGCAGTATGCATGTATTGCAATAATGCAATTTGAATTAATTGATCATTCAACCAAGGAAAAAAAAAAGGAATTTATTACTTAGGAAATAAAATTTTACAGATGCAAAAGAATGGGCTGTTAAAGGTTAAAGGGACTTATTGGTGCAGCAGATGATGGCATTTAAACAGGTTCTCACCTAGAGTAAACAGTTAACAATCCTGACCATTATTAGAAACTAGAGTGGGGTAAAGGGACAAGTCCAGCTCATATTCAGCTCAGTTTACACAGTAACTGGTAACTCCTAAAATTACGTTTGAGGCCATAAGAACATAAACCATTTCAGAATAAAAGTAAATCTTGCAGACAAAACTGTCATAAATCTAAATTTATGAAATAATTAAGAATTTAACCAAATCCTTTATAAATATTAAACAAATCTTAGCACATACGTAGCAGGACTACTACTCACTATCCAAACACTACTCTCCCAGTTTTGAATCAAGGCTTGAAGTGAGATATTCTGAAAGCAGTGTGCAATTAAGACTCACTTGAGGTAGAAAACATTGTGGAACAAAACAGGAAATAGTTTTAAGAACCTGATGAGTTTCTCATATGCACAGTATAACGCTGTTACAGATGTAAAGGATTTAAACAAATGGCATTAAGTTTGACCACCATGCTTCTTCCTGCACTGATATTGTTTACTGAGCTCTTTCCTTTGATAAACACTGAAATCATTTCCACCCTCCTCCTACTTCAATCAAACTAAACTATGGGAAAAGCTTCCAGAACATAACACTGTTTTACTTCAGTTAACTTAGTTTACTTCTAAATTAAGGAGGCAACTTCTGCTGTCACACTGCTGTAAGTAAATTCCATGGGAAAACAACATCTTAATTTACAAGGAATACAATTTCCTAAGTAAAAAATTTCTTTTTCTACTCCTCAAAGCAATCAGTTGTATGTAGAGCTCAAAATGTATGTTTCATAGCCAGCCAACTGATACAGCTTCCTGAAAGTGGTAGATTTGGGCTAATAGGGAAAAAGGGAATGTGCAGCTCTGAAGATCTCTGAAAGCTGCAAACGTGGCCTTGATGTGTTAGTATTAAAAATGTTCTATTCAAGAATAAGTTTTAAGTTTAAAAGAGAATTAAATTCTTACTTATGTGAACTATGTCTCTGAGCTTGTCGTAGAACATCTCCTATTGGGGAATCCTTCAGTTTCTTAAATTTTTCACTACAGATCGGCAAGTAGGATATCTTTCCACCCAGGTATCCACACATTCCAGCAACTTTTTTAAAAGAAAAAAAAGGCAGGTTTATATGCTGTATCATAATATGCACTATAGTTTTTAACAGAATTTCAAATAAAGTACACAGTACCTTGAAGAAAAAAAAAGTTTAGTTCTAAACCAAAACCATGCAGTAATCATTGCTCTCTGCTTCTTCTGCAGACAAAGGGTACTAAAAACAAACGCAACAGCTGAACAGAGACATAGAGCAATGATTTAGACGTGGCATGAGCATCAGATGATTTCAGCTAGTACTTCTTGAAAGGTGACAAAAAAAGGAAAGTAATTGCAATCAGTTAACTGTTATTTCTGGATCTTGGAAAAAACTATCAAAGATAATAAACAGTCAGGAATAAACAAAGGTAGTAAATTCTTCTCATTAATCCATCAGAACAGTCAGATCTTGAAAGCGCTTTCACTAATATGAAAAGGAGTCTAAGTAAACAGTATTATACTTAGTATCTTCTGAAGAGAATTCTATGGTATGGTTGCCAAAGGGCAAACAACTGAATTAGCTGAACCCTCACAACCACTAGGCAAATGCTTTCAATTTAGCGCATGAGCTGTTTTCATCTGTTAGACAGGACATAAGAATAAATGATTGTGATAGTTGATGGAAATCACCAGTTTTAATCCCAGAAAGAACTGACTCCTTCAAGTTTTATGAGTGGGTCAAACGGAGTATGAAGAATTCAATGGCAATTAACAGAAGTTTTCTTGTCAACTTTTTATGAGCAAAGGACTAGACCTTCTTTCATATGCAGTGAGTATTTTCTAAATGCAAAGACTAAAGAATCAATCATCTTTTAAGTCAGGAAGGAGTTAATTACCAGTAACACTAATCCTCTGAGGTCCTCACTTCTAGATTACATTGCCTGGGAATCAATATAAAAAGGGGATTTTACCCTACTCTGCTGTACTGGTACTGAAACTGTGATTCCTGTTCTAATATCTGTATTTTCAAAAGGAAGTTAAAAATCTTTTTCCAAGGGAAAAGAGAACAGCCACAACTATGAGTGAGGTTTACAACTGAGAAATATGAGGGTTTAGCTGTTTAACAGGTAAAAAAAAATTGGAAGACACCTCAAATGCTACAAATATGCACAAAGGAAAAATTTACAAGCCCCTGAAAGGAAAAACAGCCCAACAGGAATTCAAACTAAATACTTACCAAAATAAAGCTAAGCAGCAAAGAAAATTAATCCTTGGTATAAATACAAAGAGAAAGCCTCATTTCTTGAGGCCTTCCAGTCAACAAAAGTGGAAGCATCTCTCTGGAAGATTTCACCCAAAGTAATTATTGACTAAAACACTTGGTTTCTCTTATTACAGAACTAACAGCCAGATGAGCCACATTTTTGAAGTTAGCACAATAAATTATATCTTGTTGCCTTCTGCTTCTTCTGTATTCACTGTGACAAGACCTTAGAGAAGCTGATCAGAGATCAATAAAAGAGGGCAGGTCCCACTGCAGGCTAACATGAAGCAGGACATATGGATCACTGCCAAACAGGAATAGAGGACCAATAGCTCTATGCTGTGTTGACAGGGATGTTGTCAATATAGCGTATCAGTCATGACTAACTAGGAATTCCATTGTCAGAGTGCTTAGAAGACTACTGAGAGAAGTTATGAATAATTCCTGCAGGCAGAAGAACATCCTGGAATCTGAAAATTCCTATCTGGAAAATGAAACACCTCTCAACTTCCAGATAAAACCAAGAGGGGAAAAGCAGAGAAAGATAGAGACTAAAGAAAACCTGGCTCAACTATGTTAGATATAAAAGACCAACTACTGTAATCAGGCATAAATACTCTTCAGAATAAGAATCTAACAACCACAAGTGACACACCACTGTCAAAGACAGACTACTGTAATCAACAGGTGCAGCAGCAATACGCTCAGATCAGAGACACCAGAAAAGTAGGAACTGTCTGGAACTGTCTTACCATTGTTTAACATCAGCTAGCTATGAGCTAGCAGCAGTGCCTGGAATTACATATGCTCTTGTTTTAGTACTCAAGAAGGAAAAATAAAAAAGAAAAAAACCCCATGAAACACAACTGCACTGCTTCCCTTAATCTGATTTCACTGCAGGAGGAATGCGCAGTTAAAATATGAGACATAATTTGGATCTGTAAACTATGTCCCTGGCAATAGTTTTCAGGAATATCCTGTAGACAGTAGGCACATCTGACCTAAGCAATGTGAAGATGAAACAAAAACTGCTTAACTTGGACCTTTTACAGTCCAACTATGTCCCAGAAAAATCCCCTACTTAACATGCATATAAATCACACAAAGTTACCTACTGAAAAACAACGAAAATACACACTTTATGGAAAATTCTATTAGTATAAAATGAAAGTTCATATGTCTCCAGAGTACATGGAAAAGGAGAAATGAGAAGTATTTTGGCTTATAATCTTAACATGAAGAATAGTTAGGCCAGCTGCTCCTTATTTTTTTCCCTTGATTTCAAAATTTAGTTCTATTAAATAGGAGGAATGTGGTCCTTAACTAGAAATGTGCAGGAGCTATCAGGGAATTAATAATTCTATTATTTATTAGAAATGTTTGTGTTATACCATTGTTTGGGGTTCAAAGAAAGCAAGTGGAATTTAGCATAAACAAATGGCAGCCCTAGTCTCTCATTCATTTATCTGCTTAAACATCACTTCCTTCACCACAAATCATGGGTTTTATCCTCTTCCTACTGAAGTAAACTGTAAGAGTAACTGCCTGTATCTGGGCAGATTGGCAAGATGGCAACTTCCTGGTTTACTGTCATGTATTACATTAAAAAGGTTAATTTATTAATTTATTTTTGATTATACTTATTCCAAAATCATTCAAATGAAATTACTGTTTTCCTCCAATTGTACATATGTAACGTCCAGGAAAAAAATGCACTAAAATAGCCTGAGTGGGACAAGTGAGCTGCATGAATAAAGACCTTCAAATTAGGAAGGGAGGAGCGAGTGTACTCTGGCAAAGTAATTTTAAGTAAGCTGGTACAGTATCCATTTACAATGTTTTTAACTTAAATTCTTACATTAGTCTTGTCAAGCATATTTCAAATCTTACAATTTTATGGAAAGCCTATAAACAAAACTTCTCCAAAACATGCTGCACAAATTCAAAGATGGTGGAACAAATGCAAAAACCTCTTGACACTGAATAGGTTCTTGCAATATGAGATGCTGTAAGTTAAGAAACATAGCTAAAATGTTGCTGACTATTAGAATTAACTGCAGGAAGGTGAAACTTATTCGTTGGATATATCAGATCATTTACTCCAAATTTTCAGGCACAGTTGTACCAATGTAAGCACATTGTGGAGTCACAGTGAATCAGCCAGCGTGTTTCATGGGAATTACCTCTGTGTAACAGACTCCAGAACCTAAGGTATGAATACAAGCTGAATTTATATATAGTGCTTACTTACATGCAACTTTTGTAAAGGAGCCAAATCTTGAGCTGTCTCTTAGAACACCTGAAAATGAGGATCAAAGTAATTAGTAATAAGTTATTAAGAATTAGGCTGAAAAACATCAACTATAGTTATGCCTGTAGGTTAGGTTGTAACTAGCAGGTTATTTTACACCTAATATTAAAGAAAATTCAAGAAAACTTGATGTCTGAATTCCCCATAAAATTATAAAAATCTAAGAATTACCTCTTTTAATCATATCACAACCACTATTACTACAGAATATGCTGTTGCATAATCACTGTGATATTGCATGTGTCAGACAATAAAAAATGAACATGAATTTGATTTAAAGTTTTGCTCCTTCTTTAGTTTTAGGAACTTCAAGTCATGTACACTGAAGAGCCTAAGCTTCTTTTAATTACAAATAAATTAGACATTATTATAGTAACTTTATTAACAGCAGAAATGTATTTCATCTGAGCAAATTCAGATTAACCCAAAGTATGTTTACACTTTACCTTTTCTAATTAAGAAACTTGTAGCAAGCATGCTCACTGCAGCCAAAGGAAAAGCTGTGAAGAAGAAAAGTTGCTTAAAATACGATTTTCATTGTTGTCAACCACATTTAACAAAATATGCAATAAAATGAAAGCTGCTAAGCCTTACTAAGCTCATTTGTATAATAATATAACTATATATATTTATATATATATATATGTAAAATTCACAAACTATATATAAATGATGGAATAGTCTCAATTCCAGTTTTTAAGACCTACTACAAATTATGCAATTCTGGTTAATGAGTCATCTCCTCTTAATTAGTTTTCCTACTTCCTAAAATACAAAAGCCAAAGGCAGATGGGTTAAAGCTCTAAGGACAAGATTCCAGGTCTAGCTACAGCAGCATCAAGGTTAAAACTTTAAACTAGAGAAGCACACACAGTTCTTCAGGACAGAACACAGTGACATAGAGGCCAGTGCCTCTAAAAATTCTTGTTTTTGTTTTAACATAAAACTTTGGAAAAAAAATTTAGAGAGATATAAATGTAATTGTTTAAAATTAAGTAACCTGTTTTATTCACCAGCAAATTAAAGAACAGGGCAGCTTTCTCTGTAGTTTACGGATTAAACTATACAACTTGGGGTAAACAACAAACATAGAAAAGCATTACTGCCTGTTGCAATCAGCTTAATAAGTTCACATGGGATTTTATCATATTGAAAAAAATCAGGTGTCAGGAAGCATCTGAAGATGGCAAAACCCAAAAGGAATGCTTATTTCAAGGAAAAATAACTATGAATTGGGATGATTAACTTTCAAACTATTCATAAAGATCACCATGCCTACACAAGATGCAGTGATGTGGAAATAACAAACATGACAGAAGACTAAAGTTAATTACATTAAAGATGTAGATGTATCATAATGAAATTGCATTTTAAGCAAGTCTGAAAATGTAGATGTTACAAAAAGGCTCAATGACTTGAACTTTACCTAGGGGAGAAATTTTTGCAATAGTGTAACAAGCATTAAATATTTAGAGTGTTTCGATGCATACAATCTGCTAATTAAGTTCATATCTGGATAAATGATATTTTTAAAATTTGGACAGCACAGTATTAAAATATACTTTACAAACTAAGAATTTATTCCTTCACAAATTCTGACAGGTCTAAACTAGGTTAGGAGTCCAAGCAGAAATTTTAGGGCAAATATGACTGGATGTCACTTTTAAGAAAAAATATTGGCTCCTTGTTTAACAAGCAAGATTAAAGTGACACTTCAAAACAGAGAAAATCTTCTAATCTATGAAAAATTAAAGCCCTGATGCTTTTAGAGGTTCTAGACCTAGATTTTCCACAATTTAGAGTTCTGCATTTTCTGAGATATAGAATGGCAGTGCAATTTGAAGCTAAATTGTAAGAGAAAAATAACAAGGGGTGTGTATGTGTTAAAAAAAAAATCCAAAAGAATTTATGACAGAAGACTTCAGTCTAACCCTTAAGAGACTTACAGGCCCAACACAAATATTCCAGATGTCAAAGAGAGGTTATACGCTTTAGTGGAAACAGCTGCTAGTATGTGAGCATATAAATGACCTAAAAGGATGACTAGAAATTAGAAGAATAACAGGTAAATGATAATTGGGTTCATACATAAAAATTAATATGAATAATTATTCAAGTGCAGAAAAAACCCAAAAGCCGCTTAATAAATCAGAAAACATCAATGCTTTTCACTGCTATGGGCAAAAAGTACTTTTTCTGCTTTGGGAACAAAATAAAATAAACCCCAGGAAAAATAATGGGAGATTGATATGCCAACAGCACATAATTAAGGATGGGAATGTAATGTTTCCTAATCACACTGGTTTTATGGAGAAAAAGTCATATTGATCTGGTTTGATTTTGTTAGTGAGATTAAAAGTGCAAAGGATAAAACTGTAGATTGTAATGTGAATTTTTACAGTATTAGAACTTATACTGTATGATAATGTGATTAAAAACAGTAATATCAGTAAAGAATATATTAAACTGCATTATTAAATGACTTGTATCCTGGCTTGTGTCAGCAATAGCGTGGCCAGCAGTGACAGGGAAGGGATCTGACCCCTGTACTCGGCACTGGTGAGGCCGCCCCTCGATTCCTGTGTTCAGTTTTGGGTCCCTCACTATAAAGAGGACATTGAATGACTCAAGTGTGTCCAGAGAAGGGCAACGAAGCTGGTGAAGGCTCTGGAGCACAAGTTGTACGGGGAGCGGCTGAGGGAACTGGGGGTGTTTAGTCTGGAGAGGAGGAGGCTGAGGGGAGACCTCTTTGTCCTCTACAGTTACCTGAAAGGAGGCTGCAGAGAGCTGGGGATGAGCTTCTTTAACGAAGTAACAAGCGATAGGACAAGAAGGAATGGCCTCAAGTTGCACCAGAGAAGGTTTAGACTAGATGTCAGGAAGCATTTCTTTACAGAAGGGGTTGTTCGGTGTTGGAATGGGCTGCCCAGGGAGGTGGTGGAGTCCCCATCCCTGGAGGTGTTTGTCGGGTCGACATGGTGCTTAGGGATATGGTGTAGTTGGGAACTGTCAGTGTTAGGTTAATGGTTGGATTGGATGATCTTCAAGGTCCTTTCCAACCTAGTTGATTCTGTGATTCTGTGACTAGTAAGCATTAGAAACTACTGCCCAAAACAGGGTTTGTAAGAACTGATAAAAATTGATTACAGCTTGAAATCTGAGTAAGCAAACTGAAAATACACAAATGTACAGCAACATCTTTGAATTACAACAACTGATACAGTAACGTGAGGACATCTGGGCAGTCACACAGGCAGCCTATACCTCTTGCACAGGGGCATTCAAATAATATGTATTTAATACATCAAATACAACAACCTAGGTACATGTAACACAGAACAATAAAACAGACAGGAGACCTAGAAAACAGTGACAGGCTTTAGGCTCTCCCAGCAAGATAACAGCACAGTATACAACTCCTGAAAAAAAATCTCTCAGTTACTGATTGTCATCTTACTAAGGAACCCGATTCTTTTCACTCAAAAAATATAAGGAAAATAGCTAGATTTTAGCAAACAAGCTGAAGGTCTTCAGGTATTTGAATAAAAGCAAAAGAGGAGAATGACAAAGCAATGGAGAAAGATAAAGCAGAACTTTGAATTGTTAATTCAAAACCATAATGCCTTAGAAGTACTGACTGCCAGGAAAAATCAGAGCCCCAGTGTTCTCTACTTAGCAAATCTGCTGCTAAATTCTTCATCTGTCCGATTTTCTGCTAAGCCACCTATCAGCATCAGGAGTAATCTACTAGCATGAGATAAAACAGTGGGTTCACATCAGAAGGCTTGGTCAACCCTTTTGATCCCGAGTATAAAAAACATGTATGTCTTGAGCCTTTGGATTACAGAAACAATGTTAAGAAGCAATACCATCAATTGTCAGTGTTTTGTGAAAAAAACCCAAACAACATAACTTTGGTATTTCAAATAAGATGAGACACAGAGTTTTCTGCGCAAACAATGCAAGTGTATTATTATTCCTGTCTATTAGCTGTAGTACAGAAATCACTACTGACAGCAGTATCATTCTTGAGAATCTTGTCTTTTACTTACAGAAAAAGAAACCCCAAATGTCATAGAATCATTCAGGTTGGAAAAGACCCTTGGGATCATCGAGTCCAACCATCAGCCCTACTCTACAAAGTTCTCCCCTACACCATATCCCCCAACATCTCATCTAAACAACCCTTACACACATCCAGGGATGGTGACTTCACCACCTCCCTGGGCAGCCTATTCCACTGTCTAACCACACTTTCTGTGAAAATTTTTTTCCCAATGTCCAGTCTGAACCTCCCCTGTTGGAATTTAAAGCCATTCCCTACTGTTCTGTCACTGATCACCTGTGAGAAGAGATCAGCACCAACCTCTCTACAATGTCCTTTCAGGTATTTTAGAGAGTGATGAAGTCTCCCCTCAGCCTTCTCCTCAAACTAAACAGTCCCAGCTCCTTCAATCGCTCCTCACAGGATTTGTTCTTCAGGCCCTTCACCAGCTTTGTTGCCCTCTTCTGCACTCGCTCCAGCACCTCGATATCTCTCTCGTATTGAGGTGCCCAAAACTGGACACAATACTCCAGGTGTGGCCTCACCAGTGCAGAGTACAGGGGGACTATCCCCTCCCTACTTTGGCTGGTCACACTGTTTCTAATACAAGCCAGGATGCCGTTGGCTGATGTCTTGTCATGCACAGACAGAGAACTTTTCTCTTATACACTGCTCTTTTCATGAGTCTCCAGAAAGACAGAAAGCAGTAGTTCTAAGCTAAACTATTTTATTCTTGCATTCTAAAGATAACAACAAAAATTGAAAAGAAAAATGCAGAAATTAAAAAAAATATTCAGATACATAAACGAAACTCCATGAATTATATATATATAGACTTTTATGAATCATATTAATTTAAAATATGAAGGAATCTTATTAGAAAGCATAAACCTTACTAAATATGTTGCACCTTTTACAAAATTCCTGTCCTGCAAACTCTTAATAAGTGTAACTTCTACATGGCTGAACATTTACTGGGATGCAGTTTTAGACCAGCTGAAGCTTGTTAATCAACTGCTGTGATACACTGACCGGGGACTTCTTCCCTTTATGTCTCAACAATAAAAAACTAAGGGTGAAAGAAAACAAACCAAGTTTGTCAGCAAACTGAACTTACCTCTATACCGGGCACTCTCTTCAGCACATTCCTTGAGGAGTCGTCTTTCCTCCTCTGTTGGCACATAAGGCTTAGATATTTCCCTCTTTTATTAGAGAAATAAATTAGAAAAGAATGAGCAAATGAAAGGTTTATGGGAATTGTTCAATTAAAAGCTTTGTCTAATTTTTACACCTTGTAGTGCCTGTACTTTCATGCAGCTATACTTAAGGGACTGGTACCTTTATCTATAAGTGTTACATGAAATACACAATTAAAAAAAAATCAGTGGTTCTGCAAATCATGAGAGAGCAGAAAATATTTTGTTCACAGTCAAATTCCAACTCAGTCCACTCCTTTTTCTTCAGAAAAGCCTGCTTTGGGCCTTGTAACCAGCCTTCCAAACTGATTAAATCTGACAGCTCGTTAAATCCCTTTTTAAAATATTTGTCAGGAGTTTTAATTTATGCAATGAGTGTTGTCCGCTGACATGCATATATTTAGTGAAAGCTAGCCAGCAGCTTTACCAGCGTGTGAGAAGTTTCTATCCGAGGTGCATGACCCCCTCCTGCCGCGGAAGGCGTGCGACCGGGCACCCCGCCAGATCGCCGGTCGGGAGAAGGACAGATGCGAGACGGCCGCCGGTACCGGGGGAAACACCTCCTGCCAGGACTCCCCTCACGAAAAGCCGCCGGGAGGGCCTCAAGGGCACCATCCCCCCGCCTCCGCGGGCCACCAGGGAGCCCAGGGACGGGCGAAGGGCCGAAGGGACCCCCCTCCCCGGCCGCGGAGGGTACGTGCAGGCCCCGAGCCGGCCGCCTCACCCTCCGCAGAAGCAGCCCCTAGCCCCACCGAGATCTCGCGGCTTCCTAGAGGCAACGCCGCCGAACAAACGACAGTACCTCGGCCGGATCACCGACCTCCCCGCCGCCAGGACCCTGCCCGGCCTCCATGGCGGGGCGGGGCGAGTGGTGCGAACGATCGCTGACCCGGAAGTCAACGCGACGCTGCTCGCCGCCGCCGC